ATGTATAAAAAGATCATGAGCGACATCACCAATCTATGTCCAATAGTGGCTCTGGTTTTGTAAATCCATTGATCCTCTTCCGTAGCATTCAACCAATCATTTCTTATGTCGTCCAGTAACTGACGAATCTCGTTATGCCGCCGTAAGACGATAGTATATTTGCACACTTGGCAAAAGGCGTTGAAGTGGGGTATCATTAACTTAATCCGGTGTCCGTTGTTTTTCACTTTAAAAATTATATACATAATACTCGGTATCATGACCACAAATTGCGTGAAGTAAATAAAGAGAATCAACAACCATTTTCGTATCTTCGAAGGCACAGAAGATATAACGTTCGTTGGCCAGGCACCGATTGCGCTCAATAGTGGATACACCAACCACGTAATGTGCTTTACACCTTCTTCTGTGTTTTGTACTCGGGCCATTTTTTGCGCAGTGGCTTGGAGGGATGATGATAACTGATTGTCCACATTGTTACAATTCTCCGAGTCCGGGAAGCTCGTCGCGCTTGCGCGCACAAAACTTTAAACATCGGCAATTTGTTAAATTGCTGTTATCGAAGCGTTGCTGATGCACGCGAGCCACGCAAAATTTAGTTTTAATTCTTTATGAAAGAGTTATGGGAAATTGCTTGAAAATACGTACTCCCTATAGGAGTACACTCAATGTTACATGTCCTCTCCCCTATCCGCTGAAACGTTTCATTATGTTAATTCATCTTCATTTTTTCCTTCGATTTATTCCTTCAATCGCTTGGAGAAGGATTTTTTGTGGTTATAGCTTCAGAGAACTTATTCGGACGTGACGGAGAAAAATTTGATTACTTTGAATAATTTCTAACATATTAGATGTTTAGTACTTGTAACAAAGTTTTTTATTCTAATACTTATTGAAGCCTTTTTTTTCAACAGTTATGGAGTTTGTACGATCGATTACCGTAATAGTTACGTGTATATAGAAAAGTTCAGTGCGCGAGGTTATGAAATGAAATCATATCAATCAGTAGAATGCTACAGCAGCATTGAGTCGGAAAAGTGAGTGGAAAATATCTGTTTTGACGTTAAACATTTTCGATATATATTTTAATACTGTTGTTAAGATCAATCTCGGCTGTTGTCAGTTTTGCAGCTTTGCGTATTTCTCGGAGGACCGCTCACTGATGTGAGAATGAAAATGAAACTAATTTGTTTATTTTAACTTTATGGAGCTTGGTGGCTCCAGTGCAATGGCTTGTGGCTGTGTAACCAACAGGTGGCCTCACACTAAGTATTTGTTTTTATTGTTCTTGTTCTATGTTTTTTTGATAAATTTTTAAATTGCTTGCTAAATCGAAGGTGTAATTGATATTTGAATCTGTAAGATGCGTTAATATCTAAGTACATATATTTATGAGTAGTTAGCATTTATTTAAGTAAAGAGACAATTTGAGTAATTCATTTAAGTAAAATTATTATGAAACACGTATTTGGGCTTCTACATTACTGTTATTAGTCGAAGTTGTATCTCATATAGAATTATGCAGTTTGTTTAAACTTTAACATAATATCTATTTTGATCGAAATTTAATTTTCCCGCGTCGGTTTTC